TTCGAGGCCAGCCTGGTCTACAGAGCTAGTTCCCCGGACAGGCTCCAAAGCTATTTATATATCTGTCTCAAAAAACAAATACAAAACTACAAAAGACAACTCTCCAAAAGAAAATTAGTTTAAAATTTATTATCTTCCTTAAAAACAAAGATTGTTCTTTTTTTTTTTTTTGAAAATGATTTCTAAATCCATAAATTATTCCAGGATATTTTATTTTACAATTAAAGATTTCCAGACCTTTAATTAAAATGAATTATGTATACGAATTGCATGTGTATAATTTATGATTATTTCTTTGATAAAATTGGTAGATAACCTATTTTAGCCCCAACTGTTGGGGAGCAGACAGGATGATCCCTTTGACTGACTGACCAGGGATCCTAGCTACAAATGATGAGCTAAGAGTAACTGAGAGACCATGCGTGTCTCATGGAATAGATGCAGAACAAGGAAGGAGGATGATACCTTCTCCAGCCTCCACAGGAGTGTGGGGAAGCTCACACACACACACACACACACACACACACACACACACACACACAGTCACACACATACATATATAGTACACACAAACGCACAGATCATAGGTATACACATTCATGTACACACATACAAACACACACATACAAGTATGCTACATGCACATAAACAGTCATTTTTATATCATTTGTCAGTTACAAAGCTTAGGGCTATCTGTGATAAACTACCCACTCCCTGGCTGTGACTGGACCCTTTCTTTAACATGCCCCCTCCCTTTTAAAGAAAGCCCACGTGGTCTAAAAGTCAATCTAGGCTCCTTGATGATTATGCATGGGGCTTTCAATTCCTTCTTCAGCATATCAAAAAAAAAAAAAAAAAGGGAAACGATCTGAAATTTGTTATAAAAAAGACCTTGTGATGGACAGCAACAAGACTAAAATGTGATTCATTTCGAAACTTTGAATATTGCTAACACGTACTTCTAAAACATGAAATTCATTCCTGAGATAATATAATATATAATCATATTAAACTGTTGCCACTAACTTTAACACTTTGTCTTCCACTCAGTGAGGAGAAGTCAACAACAATTCTATTTTCTTGGGCTGATTCTTAATAGCACATAGCACTATTCTCTTAAGGGTGCTGCACAGCAGCAAAAATTACTGTGAAAATATGTTCGTTAAGGTGAAAGCTTAATTCATTTTGCTTAACTGGGTGCTACTCTTTGCTCCTACTGAAATCAGTGTGTGTGTGTGTGGGGGTTGGGTGTGGGTGTGGGTGTGCGCGCGTGTGTGTAGTGTACATGTGTAAAAATGAATCAAATGATGACATATCTTAGTTTTCTTGTGTTGACATTTTTATTATAGTAACATATCTGAGTAATTGAAGTAATTTCTCCATACAGGTGTCACATGCTAGAGCATGCCATGGCAATGCCAACTGCACATTTTGTTGACATTTCAGGTGCATCTTCTGTAACATTTGTATTCATATACAGGAAGTAAAGCACACAGGGGTAATTTGATCCACCATTCATGTAATTCTCTCACTGTCAAATCCAGACTCCTCTGCAAGTCCATTAAAATTCAGATGCTGTGCCATGTACAGGCATTGTTATATGAACTTGAGGACCAGAATGGCTGTTAGCCTTCAATAGAAACAGAATAAGCATCTGACCTTTTCACAGGCAAGCCTTCTTGCTGATTAAGACTGGCTAGTCTGTTGAGTGATGTGTTTGTCAAGACAAGAGCTTTCGAGTTCACAGGTAGTGGTAAAGTAGAAGTATTATGCATTTCTAGCTGATACACCCTCAGCATCACAATGTTTACCTGAGTACATTCTTTCCAATACATCATACACCACCTCACGGCAGATCTTCAAAACTAGCAGTGATCTCAATGTGTGCTATTTCAACAAGTCAGTTTTTCCTTTAAGCTGTCAATGTGTGTCTCACACTTAACAGAGACTTCATGTGTTTTAGGAGTACAGGCCTCAACCTTGTTCCTAAAGTTCTCAGCAAACCAAGCTTGACCCAATATTTCATTGAAGTTTTGTTGTTTCTTGGGAAAGAAAACACACCACTATAAGAATTCAAGGAAGACCAATGGTTAAAAGGCAAGATTTCTCTTTTCCTTTACTTTGTTCATGCATATCTAAAGCTTTAATGGGAATTAGAAGAATGAAAATAGGAGAGAGGAAGCAATGTGAGGGATCAAGATTTCTTTATGAATATATTTTTATAGTTTTCATTTATTTACAAGCCAACATTAGCCAGAAAATAATTAAATATCTAATAATCAATGTGTAGACAACATGGCCCTTTATACTTGACCCTCTCAATTTAAAGAGAAGAGCAAATGCCTCCAAATCACCAACCCACAGTAACACAATTGTACAGCTACACTTTTTGTTGGTGGTGAATCCTCATAACCAAGTGCATGAGATTCTGAATGCAAATTAGCATTGCTAAATAGAAATGGAAGGGATTTCCTTTCTCTCTTGAGGTATTTACTATCTTTTAAAGAATATATATATATATACATATATATATGTATGTATATATATATTTAAGAATGAATCAGTGCTTTATAGGAGATTAAATAATGACATGTATTCAGCTATCTTTTTGGTATGTTGAATAGTGTATATTGAATATGTTTAAATTTGAAGATAATGTTTACATAGAATGACATTGACATGTTAAAGAAACCATTAAATTTATATTCAAACATGTGAAATCAGCATAATCCTATACTCAATCTATTTTCCAAGCTAAAGAGAAAATGGAATGGAATCATTTTCTGGAAGTCTAGGAGCCATATATTTTCTGTGTGTGCATAAATATTAGGAAAAAGAAAGGGTTTGGTTTGGTTGGGTTTGTTTTAACTCTAGAGATGAGGAATCATGGAAACTCTAGGTGATTTGATCTCATTTAGGCAAATCCTTAGAGACAGTAGAGTTGCTAAATACTGGGTGTCATATAAAAATTTATGTGCACATATTAAAGATAAATTAAATCTAACAAAATAAAATTCATGCAAATTAAAATGAATTGAGACAGAGTAAGACAAAAGGGTGTCTTATTCAAGTGAAAACTAAATTGTGACTTTAAATGACATAAAATAAGCAAGTTACTATTTGGACAATTTGGAAAATATTCATATCTTACAGTTTGGGGGAAGCATTCCAAACTTAGGATGAACCAAATGACTAGGATGGCCTGTCTATAATTACACCCTACCCTTGTAAGTAAACCAAAATCCATTCTTTAAAAAAAAAAAAAACTGATGAGATTAAGTAGTTTCTGAAGTTTTCTTTCTTTACTATGAAGGAGAGGTTTACATTATCTCTTATGCAGATATGTTTTAACCATACACATAAGAAATTGATAACAAAAACTAGGGAATATTTTATACCTCTAATACCTGTCTGTGGCCTCCCGAGACCTGCATGGCTCATTATCATGTCTTATAGCTGCTCATTAGGGGATGGTGCTATGACAACCACAATCCACAGCACACCAGGTAATGCATGTAAGTAATGAGCACATGGCTCTCTGCACAACTTCATCGTGTCCAGCTAGTTGAAATGGCAAAATATAGGCAATGAAATCCTAGTGTTTAAAATAAGGCCTTGCTTGAGTAGCTGGGGAAATGATATTTGTTCACCAAATACTTGGCGATTCTATGCATTTAAATTTACTCTTGGTTTTTAATGTGTGTTTCCAGAGTGAGAATTTCTAATGTTGGATTGTCCCAATTTCATTGGTTTTTAAATAAAGATTTCATTCTTGTATAAGGCAAAAGTTCCAAAGCATACACTCTATCTAATTAAATAATCATCTGTGATTTAAGATAAAGTGAATGACCAACAAACTGGGTTGGTATCACTTACCAATCACTTTAGAACATATCCCCATGACTTTTATGTTCTTTTATTTCTCCATGATTTTTAAATCATGAATCAAAAACAAAAATAAGTACAAATAAACCATAAAATTGATTGATCTGTTGATTATTCCCATAAAAATTCTATAATGTTTCAATATTTGCATGTCTTATTTTAAGAAATATATACCATACTGAAGAATTCACAGTATGGCCTCCTAAATCACACTCTCATTTTCTTCCTTTGTTCTCCTTTGAAAACACAAGACAGAATTCCGTGGAAAAAGTCGTTGATGGAATGTGTGTGGTAGGTAGCCATACAGAAGTAAAGGGGCTGCCAGCAATCTGTGTATGAAGTGAACATTACAGGAAAAAATATACTCTCCAAAGGTGGTTTGAAAAATGAAATGCATATGCACCTTACATCTCTGGGTTACCACTGACCCAACTCTGAGTGAATTTGAAACAGATGAGCTCTCCTCACTACTGCCGTTTTGGAGTCATTTCTTCATTTACTGGAAATAGACTTCGCGATATAAAATGGTGGTAAACAACCTTGAGTTCTCCAAGTACTTAGCATCTGTGAGTAAAACCCTCGGAGGGAAGTTTGAGCAAATATTACACTTGCTGAGTTAAAATACCCATGACTGTGCTGTCTGTAATTGTCTGGGAAATGGAAAGCACACACAGTGGTTTTCAAACTACAAGCATGGGAGTATGGTGCTATGAAATACATGCACGATGCCTTTGGACAGAAAGACAAAGCCATATTGAACATGGAAGAAAGAAAAGACTCCATCCAGGGCAGGCACATCAGCCAATGAATAGTGAGTGACATGTGATCAGTGTAGACTCCTCTTGAGGGTCTTTACAATATTTTCTGAGGTGAGAAACTACTATTATTAGACTTTGAAAGTTAAACTGGTCTCAACATTGAGATACTTAAACCCATCAATGATTTACTTTCTCCAAAGAAAAGTGGGACACAGAGTTACACAGCTAAGACTCTATCGTAACCATCGCCTTGTTTTTTTTTTTTTATGTGACTCCCCATGGAAATCCAAATTAAAGCAAGTTTACATTTTGTTCTGGACCCCACTGGATTGTCGCTCATTTTAGATCACACCATGATCTTATCTGATCTTTATTGAAAATATACACTAGATCAAGTAGTTAAATTTCTGCATGGGGAATAAAATGTTGGAAAGTCAGGCTAGGATATCTTCTAGTACTTTACAATGTGCTATAATAACGACAATGCCGTTTTATCCTAATCCTACCATCAAGCCAACCCCAGGGCTCTAAGTCTCTTGTGTTTCACTGTTAAATATCTACAATGAGTGAGAGAATTAATGAGATACTATTAGTGCTTTCTGAAGTCAAAGCTGTGTTATCTAGAAAATAATTTAACACTGTGATGGGATCTTCAAGATCAATTCTGCTTTATACACTCTGCAGCAAAAATAATATTTCTAGTAGGAAGTAATTAAGTATAAACCTAGCAAATTCTACACATTTGCATATTTGTGTAAACAACTTTAACATGGTTTATTACATTTCCAGAAAGGTTAAATCTTATATTCAGTTTTCTGCTAACTTTTCTTACACATAATAAATATATATATTTATGTTACTTGAGTGCATGTGTGTATGTATTCTACACACTTATATGACATATATACAATAAAACAGCACATAAGGGTCACTTCCTTAAGGTTCAACTGGAGAAAATGGGTTAATTGCTATTATCCATAGCCCATGGTAATCTTCCATTCAGTCTCACAAATGGCCATATCGGGATGTAAACAAAACATTGGAGCGAGTCATTCCAGGTGAATTATACTTCATGTTGTACAGCGGTGATCTCATGAGGAATTGGGCACTTCCTGGTAGCAAATACCTAAAAAGATATTTACAAAATTAGATTGCTGCAAAAACTGTAAAGTCAATGCCATTCATGAAAGGATTATATGACTAATTATTTACCAATCTTAACGGAAACTGTGACTATCACAACAATAAATTCATTAAAAAAATTTATCTTAAGGTTAAAACTTCAGGAAGTTGGACACATACATTCGCAACATATGAAATTAATATCCTATGACATTCTATCATCATTCCATTCAGACATCACATGGCTGTTTGTTGTTTCACATGTTGGTAACATGTAGAGCCAGGCAAATATCTCTTTAACATTCGAAACAAGAATTAGACACTTTAGCACCTCAAATCTTTAGCCTTTTACTGATGGAGAATTTGGCAACCCACATTAATAATAGCATTTATTTTAAGGATTAAAACTATGGATCCTAATTTTATAATGTCTCATTGGTTCACTCTAACTAGTTAATCTAAACCATTTTTAATTGGAAAATGTATTCTTAGACCAGTGTTTATGGTTACAGATTGATATAGCCATGAAGACAAATATATTTCCAAATATATGATTTTCCATAGATTTTAGAAAGACAAGAGAGTATATGTACATGATTGTGTGTGTTTCCCACAACATGTGTATTTATTCGTCAAAATGCTGGCATTCTATAAACAAAACATTAGTTTTTACATAATAAATATGTGAATTAATAAAAGAAGACAACAAGTAAATTTATGTGCTAATTCAGACCAATTTGCCAAGAAACTGGGACTTCTGTTTGTTTGCTTGCTTGTTTGTTTGTTTGTTTTCAATGTCAAGCTTTGAAAATGGGTAATTACATATGAGTTGGGTACCCATATCTTCTCGATAGATTGGCCGGTCTAATCTTTAGGTCTAGAGTTGAAAGGCCAAGGAAATCCATAAATATAAATGGAAATTAACCATAGTATATAAATAAGCCTTTGTCGTAGTAACGAGTCGAGCAATGTATTGTAAAGTTAGGACAAAGACATCTATGATGGATTCCCAATGGCAGAAGTGACAATAGAAGTAATCAGCTGTGGTCTTAGAGAAGTAAGTGACAAGAGAGTGTCAGCTGATTCATGTCCTTCCTTGGACACTGGAACCCTCTAGTCAGCATCATAAGTGAACATATAAGAAGCAAAGATAGGGGTAAGACCTGCTAGCTGTCTGTTCTATGTGCAACAATGCTGAGAATTAGGATACTTCTATATGAATGGGAAATTAAATTTACAGTTGTTTCTTGTGAATCTTAGAGAAAGAAAAGAATTCATTATAATCAACCTGCAAACAGCATTCAAATTAAAATAGAATTTTCCATAATATCCATAAACATTATTTTATCATGAATAATAACACCTACTAAATCTGTTACCTAATATCACAAACTATAAATAATTGCACCAATCATTAAGTTAATAGAGCAGTAAAATAATACACAACAAACTAAATTAAATCAAAACTCCAGAATGGTTGATGAATAATGAAACAACTGATTTCTCACATCACAGATTATATAAATTATTTTCTTAATATCACTAGGGTAATTTATATGGATTAATTATGATTTCAAGTGCCGGTGAAGTCTTAATGATTGATCTGATACCTTTGCCATGGGAAAGCGTCCCTTCTTATGTAAGGCAAGAAGCAAATATACTAAGGTGCTTGATCAAAAACCCACTAGTCCACGGGAAGTAGGGGATATTCTAGGTTCTGTGGAAAGTGCATCAGGAATGACACAGTGAACAGCAACTTCTGTGAAGCTTTACACATGTATATGTGTGTGGTGTTCATGCATGCACACTACACCCGGGCATGAGTGTAGAGGCCCTGAGTTGATGTCAGTTGTTTCTCTCCACCCCTCTTCCCTTCATTTACTGAGACAGCCTCTTTCACTGGACCTGTAGCTCACCAAGTTCAGATAGCTAGCTTGTCCTGAACTCCCCTACCTCCTGGGTTCTGGGATTATACATGGCCATTACGCCTGCTGAGTTTTTGCTGTTATGTGGGTTCTGGGGATCTGAATTCAGATTTTCATGCTTATGGGGCAAACATTTTATCCACTGAGCTACCTTTATAATCCTTCAATTTAATTTCCAATAAATCAGTACTATTGACACTTTAATAGCACGCACAAAAACATATTTCTATTGTCTCTCAGTAGCTCTGGAACTTGTGGCCCTCCTGTCCTCAGCCTTGGGAGTGTTGGAATACCATTTCCAGCCTCACAAAAATAAGTTTTTGCACATGGAAAAAATAAATAAAACCACAAAGTACATGATGCTGGGTAATTTATTTATATTCCACAATAATTTAAATAGGGTTTTATAGGCCAACACAGCGATAATTTTAATAACTGTTAACATATTATTCTAATAATTATCTAAGTAAATAGCATTGTTAGCAACAATTTACAGATGAATAAACTATATGAAGCACACAGAGCCAAATGTCTTCCCTGGTCATACAATGAAGGGACTTGACAGGTCTAGAGCCTGGGCCCATGTACAGCATTGCTGCTCTTCAAGGACTACACTCTTCAGTCGTGACAAGTCCAGACAATTGTCATGGTACACTTCAGGAACATGAAGAATAAAATAACCCAGTACATACAATGGGTATACATGCCACAAACCTAACTTTCTAATAGTGGAAGTTTAATAAGAAACTGTTCTTTTGGACTTGAAAAAAGGAGAAGTGTGATATGAACTTGAAAAAGTATATGAAATTATACTGGAAAAATGCCCTGCTTACCTAAAGCAAACACTGTGGATCTTGCAAGGCATTACGGAGAAATGCAATAGTTATTTGCCTTGAAGTCTCTACTAATATCTCCTGGGAGACTCCAGTAGCTGAACAGCAAAGATTACTTTTAAATTGTTCTTTGCATCAGAGTTAAGTAATACAATTTGATTTTTTTTAAGGCAGGAAGACTGTCTCAAGGAAGTAAATTTATAGACTATATCTGAAGACTTTGTATAAGTACCAAAATAGGAAGACATTTACAGCTTTTATTCTGGCTTATTTTTGCTGTATCAAAATAACTCACAGCTAACTTGTACCCAAGAGCAATGTATCAGACTATCACCATTCATTTTACACCCATAGCCGCACTCCTCATTTGTTAGGCAAGGTGTGTGCATCCCTAAATACCCACTATGTAGATGTAGAAGACACTTTTTAAATTCTAGATTGGTATAGAATTTTATATGCTATCTTATTGCTAACTCTGATGATCTCCAGAGCATTAATCATTTAAAACTTATAGGGACTTTTCCTTGAACAATTAAGTGACACTCTCCTTCCAGCATCTTTCTGTAGTAGGACAAGGAACCCTGAACTCCCTCAGGTAAACCCAGATTCCTGGTTTGAGGACTGCAGGGTAAATACAATGCAATACACTATGTGCCCTGTGCTTTTGGAGGATTTTTCTTACTGTCTTGAATTTCATGACAGAAATAACTTTTATCATTCTTGGATATAAAATTCAGTGTGTTAAGTATATTGATCTTACACAACCACCTGCAAGTCTAGAGCACTGGCATGATCCCAAGAAGAAACTCTACACCTATTAATTTTCCTAGTTTCTCCTCCTCAGCTTGAGCTCGGGAACTCAGCAATAAGCGCACTTGCCTGGCACCTGTAAAGCCAAACATTTATGAAAGACCTTTTTTGGGAGATGCTCATTCCTTCCCTAGTCCTTTACCAGGTACCTAACCACCATGGTTATTTGTATGATAGAATGCTAATCAAAGACTTAAAACCACATATCCACATATAAAGAAAAAGAAAATATTGTCTTTGGGGATCTAGGTTGTCTCACTTCGGGTGATTTTTTGTTTGTTTGTTTTATTTGTTTGTTTTGTTTTGTTATTTAACTCCACCCGTTTACCTGTGGATTTAATGATTTCATTTTTCTTAATAGCTGAATAGTATTTCACTGTGCAAATGTGCCATAGTTTCCTGATCCATTCATCAGTGGATGGACATCTAGGCTGTTTCCAAATTCTGGCCATTATGAATGAAGCAGCAATGACCATAGCTCAAGTATCTCTGTAGTAGGATGTTGAGTCCTTTGGGTATAGCTGAATCTTGACGTACATCTATTCCCAGATTCTCAAGGAACCATGACACTGGTTTCCATAGTGACTATGCAAGCTAGCACTCCCACCAGCAATGGAAACATGTTCCCATCACTCTCCAGTCTTGACAGATTGACCGTGGCCATTCTGACTGTGCTAAAATGAAATCTCAAAGTAGTTTTAATTTGCATTGCCTGCATTGCCAAGGATGCTGAACATTTCTTTAAGTGTTTCTTATCCATTTGTGTTTCTTTTCTTTTTTTTTTTTTTTTTTTTTTTTTTTTTTGAGAACTAGCTACTTAGCTCTGTACTCCATTTTAAAAACTAGGCTATTTGTTTTCTTGGTGTTCTGCCTTTTTAGTTCTTTGTAAGTTGAGAAACTAACCCTCTGATTTACAATTGGTAAAGATCTTTTCCCATTCCACAGCCTGCCACTTCGCCTAACTGACTGTGTCTTTTGCCATATAGAAGCTTTTCAGCTTCATAAGGAATTGTGCATTAACTGTCAGTCTTTGTGCCTGTGATATCAGTGTCCTGTTCAGAAAGTCCTTTCCTGTGCCAATGAGTTCAAGTCTGATCTCTGACTTCTCCTCTACCAGGTTTAGGGTATCTTTATTATGCTGAGGCCCTTGATCCATTTGGAGGTGAGCTTTGTGCAGGGTGGGTGATAAGTAGGATTCTAGTTGCATTCTTCTATGAGCAGCCATCAGTTTGACCAGCACTGTTTGTTGAAGATGCTGCCTTTTCTCCATCATCAACCCTCTCCCCTCAAGGCTATGCAGAAGAGGAGGCAGAAAGACTGTGAAGAGCCTGAGGTGACTGCTGAATGACTCTGAGGAAACAGCGTCTTCAGACACAACAGGACTGGCACACAGACGAGTTCAGAGACTGGCAGCATGCATGAAGCCTGGGCAGCTC